GATCGCACTCTCAGCGGCAGCATCTCACAGGACGATCGTCTGTAGCGCCTCATATTCTGTATGTCACACCGCCGGAGCTTCTCATTTGTGTCTGGCGTATTGCAGCTTTCGGTGGGCCCAGCAGGGGGGTCTTAGCGCAGCTTTATGGCGTCTCGTTACAGATCGGGACCGATACAAAATGTCTTCTGGTTTTCTGAGAGAGAAGAGGGACGAATTTTATCACAAGGATCCTAAGCCCACCTCTTCGTCGGGCGACCATCATTTTATTTTTGGGGGAAAAACACTCCTGTGGAAATGGCTTGGCATATTTATTAAAACACTTTGAAATGGTGTTATGGTGGTCAGTAAAAAGAATGATAATGGGGTGCCATGAGTTACCTCTCTTTGCCCCTTGCGCTGTTTTATTTATAATTAGTTATTATTTTTCTAACTGCTTGCCACCCATTTACGCTAGGGTTCACATCCGTGCGGGTGGTGCCAGCTGCGGATCCGCCACAAAAATCCGTGGACTGCAGCCGCGCGACGGGAGCGTCAGACGCGGGGAAACGGTTGACCGAAGGACATCGGCCGATCAAACCGCTTTACCACCAATATACGACGATCCCACGGTCCGCTGTCCCCCCCACCAATATGTGACGGACGCGGCGTCAGACCCCTGACCTTCTCACCAACAACTCGTGACCGAAGGGACTGGCCGATCTGAAACCAAAGCGATGTTCCCTGCAGTACACTGCACCCCCGCCCCCCCGCCCCCAGTAAAACACTCCCCCCAATCACACACAGTTTCAACCCTTTAACCCTTATCCCTGAATAATAAACTTAACCCCTTCCTCCCCAGTGCCATTAGTACAGTGTCAGTGTTTTTTTTTTTTTTTTATGCACTGATCACTGTATTGGTGTCACTGGGGATGTCAGTGATCCCCAAGTCAGTACCCCCCAATGTCAGAATGTCCGCCGCAGTCCCGCCATAAGTCCCTGATCGCCGCCATAAGTCGCTGATCGCCGCCATTATTAGTATAAAAAAACCTAAAAATCCCAGTATCTTTCCCGCCATTTGTAAACGCTATAACTTTCACGTAAACCAATTAATTTACACGTATTGGGTTTTTTTTTTTTTAGCAAAGACATGTCGCAGAATGCATTTTGGCAGAAATTTATGACTAAATTTGATTTTTACATTTTTTTTACTGGACATGTTTTATAGCAAAAAGTCCAAAATATTGTTTTTTTTTCCTCAAAATTGTCAGCCTTTTTTTTTTGCATAGTGCAAAAATAAAAACCGCACAGGCGATCAAATACCACCGAAAGAAAGCTCAATTTGTGGGAAAAAAAATATGGATGTAAATTTCATTTATGTACCATATTGCATGACCGCGCAATTGTGCCGTTAAACTAGCGCAGCGCTGTATAGCAAAAAAAAAAATGGCGTAAATTGCAGTATCTATACAATGGTTTGTAGACGCTATAACTTCCACACAAAGCAATCAATATACACTTATTGGGATTTTTTTTAACAAAAACATGGAGCAGAATACATTTTTGGCCTAAATTTATAACCAACTTTGAGTTTACTATATATTTTTTATAGCTGAAAGTAAAAAATATCGTTTTTCTTCCAAATTTTTGGCCTTTTTTGTTTATAGCGTGAAAAATAAAAAGCGCACAGGTGATCAAATACCACCGAAAGAAAGCTCTATTTGTGTGAAAAAAAAAGGACGTAAATTTTAGTTTGGGTGCAGCATTGCATGACCGCGCAATTATCAGTTGAATTAGTGCAGCGCCGAGTAGCAAAAAGAGGCGTGGTCATTAAGGGGGGTAAATCCTCTGGAGGTCAAGTGGTTAATGAGCAACTGAAAAGGAACACTGTTCCCAATGACCATTTAAGGCAGTGGTTCTCAACCTTCCTAATGCCCGCGAACCCTTTAATACAGTTCCTCATGTTGTGGTGACCCCCAACCATAAAATTATTTACCCAGTAATTATAATTCATGAGTGTTGTTTTACCTCCAATACTGCTGCTTTCAACACAGTAGCTGCTTTCAACACAGTAGCTGCTTTTAACAGAGTACTGCTTTTCAACACAGCAGCTGCTTTTTAACAGAGTAGCTGCTTTCAACACAGTAGCTGCTTTCAACACAGTAGCTGCTTTTAACAGAGTAGCTGCTTTCTATTTCAATGGTTTTTATTAAATTTTTTAAAACAGTATAAACAGAGGCAGTAAAACACGCCCACGCAGGGGCAGGGGCTATCAATTGCACAGATAAACAAAATGCCAAATAAAAAAAAAGGGGAAAAACAATGCTCTAATGCCAACAGGGCAAAAGGTACGCCCACGCAGGGGCTATCAAAGGCACATAAGTTACAAAACATTAATGTAACTGATTATAACAACTAAATGCAGCTGTCCTAGTCACACCAAAAACAGAGAGAGAGAGAAAAAGGAAAAGAAAGAAAAAAAAAAAAAAAAAGGGGGGGGGGGGGGGGGGGGGGGTGCAAAGAGCAGGGATTCAAGAGCGCCAACACCGAACGCCATTACATCCCAGACTAGCCGGGGAGAGTGAGGGAAGGGCATATTGCAACCACGGCTCCCATATTTTCAAAAATTTACGTTGGGAGTCATTGCAGATACTCGACATCTGTTCGTTGAGCATCATAGTGGTCATACGATCCCGCACCCCCTGAAGAGGGACAAACGGACTCCTCCAGGCCTGAGCAATTGTTCTAGTGGCGGATAAAAACAGATAGGAAGCCAACTTCTGCTGGTGAGCCAAGAGGCCCGGTAATGGGGCAATGAAAGCAAGCAAATCGAGACCAAAAACGGCAACAATTGTTCTGACCACGTGATTCAGATAGGAAGCCAACTTCTGCTGGTGAGCCAAGAGGCCCGGTATGGGGCAATGAAGCAAAAGCATACCGAACACATCCCGGCGTATGGAGAGATGGAACAAAGTGAAAAGGAGGCCAAATACACGAGACCAAAAACGAAACAGTCTCGGGCATGACCACCAGATATGCAATACATCACCACGATGACCACAACCCCGAAAACATCGATCACTACAGGCAGGGTTAGCCCGGGCCAACCGAGCCGGAACCCAGTACCAACGAAACAAAACCTTATAGGCTGCCTCCAGTGTGGTCGTATTAAATGAGCATTTAGCTATGAGTGACCAGGCCTTATTCCAGTCCTCCGGATCCACAGCCACTCCCAGGTCGCGCTCCCACTGAACAACATATGAAAGAGAAGTATGCGATGAGCGTCTGTTCAGAGCTGCATAAAGAAGGGATATAAGGCCCGGAGCGCCCCGGACGCTGTTGGCAAAGCTGTTCAAAGGGCAGATTTCTGGTACGGGAACGCAGAAGTACCCCGCAGCGAGAGCAGCCAGTGTCGCAATTGAAGATATCGAAAAAATTCCGCTGGGGGGATATTCCGGGATTCCCGAAGAGAGTTCCAGGTGGGAAAGGACCGAAAAATCAAAAAGTGTCGCACCTGCGAAAAACCATTAGTCACCCACCAAGAAAACGCCCCCTGGGTGATCCAAACCCGGCGGGAAAAGAGGGTTGTTAATAATAGGTAGAGTAGCTGCTTTCAACACAGCAGCTCCTTTCTACACAGTAGCTGCTCTTTACACATCGGAAATATGTGTTTTCTGATGGTCTTAGGGGACCCCTGGGAAAGGGTCGTTCAACCCCCAAAGGGGTTGCGACCCACAGGTTGAGAACCACTGGTTTAAGGGTTCCATATGAGGCATGAGGAGGGAGACAAAAGTGAGCAGAAAGAAGAAAAATAAAAAAGAGAGGGGGGGGGGGAGGATTTGGAGAGACTGATGGAGAGAGAGGGAAAGGGCATGCGACTTCCAGAAGAGAATAGAAAATCTCGGGACCAGGACAATGCAAGACGTGGCTCTTAGGACTATCATGATGCGGGATTAGAGGACATCGCGGAAGGAGCAGCGAGTTTTGTGGGGGAGCGTGGCAGGAAGCGTTCCACCCAAGGGGTCCAGGTTGACAGGAAAGTGACTTAGGGAGCCGCGAATCTAAAATGGTAGCCTCAATTTTGGCGTGGATCATTGCTTGTGTGACCTTGTTTCGAGCTGCTAATATACACAGAGATGGCGACTTCCACGATTTGACCATGATCTGTTTGTGATTTGTAGGAGAAGTTTAAATTGGGATTTGGAAATATTTAAAAGTGCCACAGTTGGGTCTGGAGGTAATGATTTTTGTCCCAATCTTTCTCTTCACGGTCCCCCCGCTGGTGCCCCCTGGCTGCTCCCTATTTCTGAGTGCCCCCATAGCAAGCTGCTTGCTGTGGGGGCACTTGAGCGGGGATGTTTCCCATGCCCTGCTCTGTGTGTCGCATAAGACATACAGAGCGTAGTTTGGCCCAGCCCCCCCCATTCTCTCCTCACAGCCAATGGCTCCTGCTGTGTCTCAGCCATTGAGGAGGGAGAGACCCGGGTGCCGCTGCTACAGTGCATATCATTGGATCACAGTCAGGCTCGGGTGAGTATTAGGAGGGGCTGAGGGGGGGGAGCTGCACGCTGAAGGTTTCTTTCCGTCACGCATAGAATTGCATGGAGGTAAAACACCTTTAGTCTTTACAATCACTTTTAACTGATCAGTCATCTTAGCAGTGTACATTTTTTCTGAGTTCCCCTTTAATATAATGTTGATCCTGCCATTAGATCTGTTGTTCTATGCTCATCATGTCTCTCTTCTTTTTTTAGGTACCTTTATTTTCTGCAGATTAAACAGGACGTTTCTCACTGGGAGGTAAGTCAAATTAAATATTTTTATAAAATGTTGATGAATTAATTACTCCAGCCTTACCTTATGAGAACTAATTAAACCACCACACATTTATAATGGAAGAACTTTTATGTGGAAATCAAAATAATTTTATGTTCAAAGTCTAAAGTGGATGCATGTTGTAGGCAGGCTCTTGGGGAGGAGGTATGCAAATATCGAAAACGCTTGAAAGTGTTACTAAACCCGGGACCACTGCATTCAGTCTATCCGGTCTCCCCGGACCCCGTATTCACTATATCCGGTCTCCACCGACCCCGCATTCACCTATATCCAGTCTCCCCGGATCCTGCATCACTATATCCGGTCTCCCCGGACCCTGCATTCACTATATCCGGTCTCTCCCGGACCTGGCATTAACTATATCGCGCTCTCACCCGGACCCTGCATTCACTATATCCGCTCTCCCGGTACCCTGCATTCACTATATCCGCTCTCCCCGGATCCTGCATTCACTATATCCGCTCTCCCCGGACCCTGCATTCACTATATCCGCTCTCTCCCCCCCCCGGAACCCTGCATTCACATATCCGCTCTCCCCAGACCCCGCATTCACTATATCCAGTCTCCCTGGACCGCTGCATTCACTATATCCGCTCTCCCCAGAACCGCCGCATTCACTATATCCAGTCTCCCTGGACCCTGCATTCACTATTATCCGCTCTCCCTAGACCCCGCATTCACTATATCCAGTCTCCCTGGACCACTGCATTCACTATATCCGCTCTCCCCGGACCCCGCATTCACTATATCCGCTCTCCCCCAGACCCCGCATTCACTATATCCAGTCTCCCTGGAGACCCCGCATTCACTATATCCGCTCTCCCCCCGGACCCCGCCATTCACTATATCCGCTCTCTACCCAGACCCCGCATTCACTATAATCCAAGTCTCACGGACCCCGCATTCACTATATCCGCTCTCCCGGGACCCCCGCATTTCACTATATCCGCTTTCCCCGGACCTAACTGCATTCACTATATCCCCCCCCCCCCCCCCCCGGACCATGCATTCACTATATCCGGTCTCCCTGGACCCCGCATTCACTATATCCGCTCTCCCCGGACTCTGCATTCACTATATCCAGTCTCCCCGGACCCCGCATTCACTATATCCGCTCTCCCCCGGACCCCACATTCACTATATCCGCTTTCCCCGGACCCTGCATATCACTATATCCGTTCCCCCCCCCCCACCCCCGGACCATGCATTCACTATATCCGGTTCTTCCCCGGATCCTGCATTCACTATATCCGTTACTCCCCCCCCCCCGACCCTGCATTCACTATATCCGGTCTTCCCTGGACCCTGCATTCACTATATCCCGGTCTCCCCCAATATCGGCCTTGCATTCACTATATCCGCTCTCCCCGGACCCTGCATTCACTATATCCGCTCTATCTCCCGGACCGCTGCATTCACTATATCTGGTCATCTTCCCGGGACCCGTGCATTCACTATATGCTGGTTCCGAATCCCCGGACCCTGCATTCCACTATATCCGCTCTCTCCGGACCCTGCATTCACTATATTCGCTCTCCTTGGACCCTGCATTCACTATATCTGCTCTCCCCGTACCCCGCATTCACTATATCCGGTCTCCTCGGACCCTGCATTCACTGAATCCACTCTGCTCCCGGACCCTGCATTCACTATATCCTCTCTCCCGGAATCTAGTATGCTGCCACATATATCCGGTCTCCCTGGACCCTGCATTCACCAGTGTATATCCGGTCTCCCTGGACCCTGCATTCACTATATCCGGTCCCTCCCTGGACCCTGCATTCACTATATCCGGTCTCCCTAGGACCCTGCATTCACTATATCCGGTCTCCCTGAATCCCTGCATGACGCATAACTATATCCGGTCATCCCTGGACCCTGCATTCACTATATCCGCTCTCCCAGGACGACCCTGCATTCCTATTATATCCGGTCTCCCCCGACCCTGCATCACTAAATACCGCTTTCCCCAGACCGGCATTCACTATATCCGCTCAGCCGGTCTCCCCGGACCTGGCATTCACTATATCTGCTCTCCAGGACCCCGCATTACACTAATATCCTGCTTTCCCCAGACCTGGCATTCACTATATCAGCTCTCCCAGACCCTGTATTCAAAAAACTATTAACAGCTCTCACTCGGACCCTGCATTCAGACAGCAGAAGAAAGGGGAGGAGGATCAGACAAGGCAGGATCAAAACCAG